ACAGAGTGTCGCTCCAGGCCCAATGGGGCTGGCTCAGTCAGGAGGTCTGGACAAATGTGCCAGGCTCTCCTTGACATGCAATAATGGTTTCGTCCCATCCAAATCTCATACACGTGGAACGCAATCAGTCCCTGCGTTTTACCCTGCTCCACAGTGCGAGGGTGAGAGGTCGCTCCGTGAAATTTAGGGCTGGTAAGTTTAGAACATATGAAAGGAAACACTTCTTCACACAGCCTGTGGGACGCACTGCCCAGAGGGGCCAGAGAGTCCAATACTGGGGCTGCGTTTCTCAAGGACTGGGGACTTTTAAGAGCAATATTATTGACAGCAAGACATGCTAGGATCAGTAACTTCAAGCTTCAGGGCATCAGCTGGTCAGGAAGGAATTTTCCCTCCCACTATGCAGCCTTGCACAATTTGCTAGGGGACTCGTGGGTCATTTCAAAGCATTAACCATTGCGGGAGGCAGGACACTGGATTTAAATAAACCACTGGGCTGATCTGGTGTGAGGAGTCCTCTGTTCCTTTAAGACAGACTCTGCATGCACTTTCCTGTTATCAGTAAATCACCCTCACGTAGCAGTGCTGGCCCAGAAGCAGCCATGGAATCCCTTGTGACTGAGATGCCTGAAGGACAGCTCGGGCCTATTCAATTTTAAAACTTCTAAATACTAAAAAAATATAACCCAGCCACCACCACTCCAACCCCACCCCCCACGCCCAGAAGCAATGACAGACAAGCCAGCAAAAAATTCCCTCCTGACCCTTAAGGGTGGCCAGCTCCGTCCCAGCAGAAATCTGACGCAGGTCCTGCTAAATTACTGAAGTCCACAGACGCTTAAAGCTCCTAATGCTACTCAGCTCCTGCTCCTCAGCTGGAATCCTGTCCGCTGCCCTTTACCAGTCGCATTTCATTGAACTGCTCTGACATACATTCCCTCTTCGCCTAAACCTGCGGCCCCGACTTCCGGGCTGTCCAGCGACCTCTAATTGGCTCTAAAATGTGTAATAACTGAGCTCAGCATCAGTTCCTCCTCTCCTCTCAGCCCCTGACTGGGATAAAATCCCTGGCAGGATGTTTCTGAGTAATTAAGATGGCATGAGCCTTGAGGACCCAGACTAAGGCCCTATGTGATTCAAGCACCACGTAGGACAGAAGAAAAGGAGGAGGAAGAGAACCCTGGGGTTTGGATTGGACAGTTCTAGAGGAAAGGATGCAAAATTCTGATCAGGACCCAGGACTGGAGGGTTTCAGAGCAGTGGGGCCATATTTCTTTGAGACCATCCCCCACATGGTCAGATGTTAAGGGCCTTTCGGTCCCTGACCCAGTCACGCCTGGATTGATGCCCCCACCAGTTGGACGGGGCCCTGCCAGGAACAATTTGTACAGTGGGGGTGCTGAGAGCCATTGAACCAAACGGTACACCCTGTGTGTTATGGAAACCACTTACAGCCCGGGGCAGCGTTCGCTCGAATTATTCCCACCCATGTGCGGAATGAATTTTGTTATGGGCACCAATATGGAGGTGATGTGTGACACCGGGGATGGGTTGGGACTGTGGGAGGGGCGCGTCTCCCCCCGGCCGCAGGAGGTCCGGGCTGGGTTGGGGCCGCGGGAGGGGCACGTCTCCCCCGGCCGCAGCAGGTCCATGGCTGGGCTGGGTTGGGGCCGGGGGACAGGCATCTCTCCCCACTGCAGCCCTGAGTGCCTGCACGGCCCTTAATAGTCTGCTACACGGCTGCCCAGCTTAGAGGGAACTTAGGCCAGAGGTGCGGCAGCACCCCCAGCACGCCTAGTTCCAGCACCTCTGGGCCCTGCATTCGATCTGTGGCACGGTGAAAAGACACAGATTGACAAAGTGACTGACCCATAGCACCAAATTTGGGAACTCCATTGATAATGGGGCAGGCCCCTGCAGACTGTTTAGTGCAGGAGCCAGCCCCAGGATGGGAACCCTTTTCAAAGGAGAGAGACACTCTGTAGCCAGTGGCAGCAGATTTATCACAGAGCTCACACGTGCTTGGCGCCTCTCCCATGGATGGGCTTTGCTCACTCCCAACATTAGTAGGCGGGTGCCCCAGCTTCCAGCAATTCAATCCAGCCCCGGCATTATCACAAGCTCAGAGCCTACTTTGCAGAAAGCAGATTTACTTGGCCTCATTCACTTCACATGCGCTCCAATTTTCTCCTAATGCATACGCCTCTTCTCCCGCCTTGCATGTACCACACAGGCAGCTCCAGCAACCTCTGTGATCAGAGGAGCTGCAGGAAAAGATTCCAGCCGCCTGATGGGGACCTCTGCATGGCTACTCCGAACCTACGGGACATCCACTGCAATGATGATCGTAGCATGGCATAGTCCCCTAGCAGCCATAGATCCACCACATGCAGGACACAGACCACTCTCGGTCTTCCCAGGCAACTCCTATTGATCACAGGGGACACATGCCTATGAAATACAACAACATCTACAGACACTGGCAGGGTTCAAACCCCACGGAGGCGGGGAAAGTGGAGGGGGGAGACTTGGGGAAGTCCAAATTTGGGCTGCATAATACCTCTTTCTTATCCAGCACTTTACAAAGGAGATATGTACCATTATCCCTGTTTGCACGTGGGGAAACCGAAGCACAGAGTGGTGACTTGCCAAAGATCACCCACCAGACCAGTAGCAAAGCTGGGACTAGAATCCAGGTCGCCTGAGGCCAAGTCCAATGCTCCGTCTACTAGGCAATACTTCCACCCACTAGATCTCAGAAGATAGCTGGTTCCTGGACTGCTCTGCAGCGGGTACACTGGATTGTCTATTAGTCCATTGATAAGGAGGTCTACTTGACTATGGAAGAGTCTCCCAAGGGAAAGGGTGTAACCTCATTGCTTGAGACATTTAAACCCAGTCTGGGCAAAGCCCTAGAGAATATTCCACACGGAAGAACTTTGCACTGGCTCCACTTACTCCTAACTGAGCGGTTTCTAGGACCCTAGGACAGTGCTGGGACTTAGGTTTCCTCTCAGCACGAGTAGAGACTGCACGGATTTCTGAGATGGGAAGCAGGGTTTGCCACGCCCAGCGGCTTGCCTGGAGGACGGATGCTTTTGCGTTCCCACATCGGAACAGAGGCCACCAAGCAATATTGCTCCAGCCCAGCATAATGACGGGTGCAAGCTCGGGGGTGATGATCTTGGAAACCCACCTGGCAAGAAGCAGCCACATGGCATTGAAACTGGGACAGACTCAAACAAGATGGGTGAAAATCCTCTCTGTGTAGCTGGACATTAACACCACGCTCAGCATCCCCAGGGCGTCTAAGCACCCAGCTACATTCCTTGGGGTGGGGCCGAGCGTCCCATTCACACTAGGTGCCCTGAGACCCATGCTACCAACACCCTCCTGAATGGGACCCATCACCCAGCGACCCTGGCAATTGGCCTGCTGAGACCTGGAGACTCATTATTTTGTTATTCCAAATAATAAAGGAAACAAACAACCTGCTCCCGCAAGGCTGCGGAATCAGCTCCGTCAGCTCCAGCTCCCCCGCTCCTAAGGGGGCCGGAGCTGGCTTCTATCTGGATTGATATTCCATCAGAGCGTTAGGGTGTCGGATTTGGAGGCCTGCGTGCACTCCCTGATAGATCATCATTTCAGCTCTGCTGCAGACAGAGCTCGGTGGCTCTCCAGCTTGATCCCAGAAGAGGCACAGTTCCGGGTTGTCACGAGAACGAAGGATCTCACAGGTCACCAGGATTCTTTAAAGAGACACTGTTAAGGTGGGGAGGCCAAGAGTGGGGGAGAGAGGCTTGCTTTATAGATGGATTTGTAACGCGTGCCAGATGACCGCTCTGGAGAATTCAATCCGGAACATAGGTGTCTGAGCCAGGAAGTCCTGAGTTCTAACTGTAATCCTGCCATCCTCTATGGCCTTGGGCAAGTCTCTTAACTCCCCTGCCTCCATTTCCCTATTTGGAAACTGCGGCTGATGCAGCTCCATCTCAGGCTCCATCTCTATGGCACAAAGGAGGCTGCATCCACACAGCGGTGTGTAGTTACACGTGTCAGCAAAAGGCTCTGGTGGGAGGAGGCAGAGCCCCGCTGCCAGAGCCTTTCCTCACTGCCTTCCCCTTGCCAGAGGCTTTCCCCACTACAGGAGCCTTTCCCTGGGGCGTGGAAAGGCTCCACAGCGGAGACCTGCTGGATAGCTGCGGCGGGGAATGGCTCCAGCCGCTGGGAGGCAGCGGGGCACCACGCTGCTAAAAAGAGCAGTGTAGACAGGGGAGGTGCTGGTTGGGTTGCAGAGAGCTGTGTAGGACACACACACACACACAGAGGCTTCCCTTGTCACTCGCCTGAGCTGTGCCTCACCATCTATGCTGCCATTTCTACTGGTGCCAGGGTGGGGGTGGGGGGGGTGTTCTCCACATGCCGGTGTATGGAGTGTAGACGTACCTTCAGTAGGCATTAGGGGAGTTGACGGGTGTCAGAAGAATTAGCTTGTCTTTGGCAAGCTCTTTCAGCGTGGAAAGCAATGATTAGTACTTTTCACATTGCCAGACAGGAGCTAAGGTGCAGCAGTATGATCCCCTTTGCCACCTGGGGAAACTGAGGCACGGAACTCAGTGGACTTGTCTGAGGCCACAGAAGGAGCCAGGGTCAGGACCGTGATTAGACTCATAGATTCACAGATATTTAGGTCAGAAGGGACCATTATGATCATCTAGTCTGACCTCTAGCAGACCAGACCCTCAGCATCAACCTCTGCCCAGCCACAGACCAGGTCAGGCTCCATCCCAGCCAATTCCCCGAGCTCTCCACGGCTCTGCAATCTACAAGAAGCCTAGGAGATCATTAATTTCACACGACCCAAGCGCTGGGTCGTTGCTGAGCTCTGCCATCCGACGAGTCCATGAGGAGAGCCAATGGAACTACACGAGCCGTCACACTCCCGTCACGGGGAGGGTCAGGGAAACGCAGCCCGGAGGCCCTGCAAACCAGCCACTCACTCACTGTTCTGCAGCTCTGAGCCCGCACCAACATCTGGGTCCGTTGGGGCACGTGAGGGTCGGGAAGCTTTACGCGGCAAATGTTTCTGCAGGGCAGGTCGGGGATCCTCTGGAGAAAGCAAGAGACAAAAAAAATAAAATAAAATAAACTACAGCCGCCAAAGGGGGGGGTTCTGAACAGACTTCTTGGATGATCGTCACGCACCAAGGTCACTGCCTCTCCCAGTGGAAAGGTAATCTCGCCTTGAGATGCAAGATGGTTCTGGATCTTACCCAGGCCCTCTCAGATCTGCCCATTATGGGTACGCTAACAACAATCCTGTTTCCGTAGCATTTTTTACCCTGAAGGATCCACTGGAAACGGAAGGGTCACTGGGCCCTGCACCGAAAGGCTCCGGGTGGAGCGCACCAGCTGCTTCGCAGCACACAGAGAATTAAGGGTGGGAAGCGAAGACGAAGAGGACGTCCACGGAGGCTGTGAGGCAGAAATGTAGGGAGGCAGGATGCACTTGCCCACACTGGGGTTTTGGCCCGGGTGCTGGGGCTAGAACCCCTGCTTCAGCCACGAATGTTGAATGACATCTAGCCAGGACCTCACATTTTCCATTGCATCTGAAGGATGGCGCTGCTTACCAGCAGGGCCGGCCCTAGTTCAAATGGTGCCCCAGGTGCCCTCCCCATTTGTTAAACTTTTGAATACCTGCCCTTGGCGTAGTAGGATTTTATGTTTGTATTTTGCATAATTTAGAATAAAAAATAAAGAAGAATAAAATAATAATGTAGCATGTATTAAATGTATTGATGGATGATTTAACCATATCCTGCCGGCCACCCTTTTTGAATAGCAGAAAGGAATGGCCTAATATGCCACTGGCAGAAGGGCAACCGCCAGAATTCCTTTGTGTTTGGACTGATTTCAAGGCAGTAACAGACCTTTGAGGGTCACCACTTTGTTGTGGGTTTAGCATTTTAAAATAAGTAAAAGAATGCCGGGATTGTTTTCTTTTGCATTGCAACTTGATGTTCCTGTTCAAAATGTTCTGTGTAAATTAATTCTGTTTTGTGTGTGAATGAGGAATGTGTGTGTTAAAAGAGAAGTGTAAAGGCCAGGGCTGAACCAGATGGTCTAGGGAGGAACCGGAGACAGACGCAAGGGCGCCCGGAGGCTGCAGCACGCCCCTATTGAAATGTCAAAGAAAAGCAGATTGACGACTCTAAAAATAAGACAGGCGCCTATCAATGGGGACAAAATAGCTGTAATCAAAACCAGCATGAAAGAACTCCCTAAAACAATAAAAAAAACAAAAACAAAATAAAAAATAAGAAAAACTATTTAAAAAAAACAAACACTCATCAAACAACAATTGATTACAGTGTGACAGTGCAAAACTCATTGGTCCCAATGAAGGAAAATCACTATATAAACAGGGTGCCTTGCCATGAAACTTTGGGTTTGTCCTGCCAAAATTTCCCCTGAGCATCATGTCACGACCGACGGAACCCGGCTCCTCCCTACCTGTGATCAACCTAGCTGGCCACTAGATTGATCCAGACTCTGGACTGGTAACTATAACATCAACTGGCAGGACAGTGCGTGCGTGTGTGTGATTGAATGCATATGCTCATTGTTGTATCTTCAATAAACACGGTGTATTGCCTTTGCCCCTAAAAAAGATCCCGGGTGCTTCTTATAAGCATAACATCCTGGCGCCCTGAGCCCAGCACCCGCCCCAAGTCTGGCACTCCAGGAAGTCACCTGGGTTACCTGCCCCCAAATCCGGCCCTGCTTATCAGCACCACGCTACTTCAACACTGGCTCGGAAGGAAAAGCACTTCCTACCCAATCAAGCCCCCCAGTTCCTGAAGCCCACTTCCTGCAACTTCCATCCAGGTTCTAATCCAGCCTAAATGTGCTGAGATTGCAAGATCAGACTAGCTCACTTGGATCGCAGTGGCCCTGTCTGGCGTAGAAGTGATGCATCTACGTTGCATATTGCCACTCCAGGCCTGCAGGCTAAGAAGCCCCTTCATGCGACATGCATTGGTACGGCTTTACTAGAGTATTTATTAATTCATTGGATTCATCGCAAACTCACTTTGTGCCGAACAAAAGGTCTCATTCATTGTAAATATCTCCCTTCTTTGGATGGGGAGCCCAGCTAGAATCAATTTCTGTATTATAAATGGTCCCAAACCTAGGCTACCTCTCTGAGCTTTCACACAGCTGTTTTATTCAGGCTGTGAATGAAAAACAGTGACCTCGCTTTGGGGTGTGTGGCCGGGGAGCCGCGCACCCCTCCCATCTCCAAGCCCTCTCTCCTACTGGTCCCTCCTCTCAAATCTGCAGCACGTTGCCGCAAGGAGCATCAAAGGAGGGCGGAAATGTAAAAGGTGGGTAAAAAGATCGCCTGTGGGATTGAGAACACCTTGATAACAGAAGCCCTAACAGCAGTCAAATAAATCCTAGCCTCCTCTTTCGCAGATCTAGATCCAACAGGGGATTCGTAGCTGAATGAGAGAGAAGCTGAAACCGAGATCTGAAGATACAGTCTATAACCAGCTGTATGTGTTTTCTTTTTCTACAAGTGAATTTAGTACTGGGGAAAGGTGCCAGACTGGCAGCCCTGCTGAGAGAAGGCCTGGCTCATCCTGAGGACACTGACAGGTCACATTGGCGGTGATCTTGGGGGGGGTTTCACCTTCCTTTGCAACACAGAGTGAAGGTCGCTTACCAGGATCATCTGGACACATCTCACTTCATCAATTCCCGGCAACTGGTGCACCATGCTCCCTCCTATTCTTTGCCTATGGCACTCAGTAGTTTAGTCTCCTGAGGACTGTAATCCTTTGGTCTAATTCTGGTTGTTGGGCTAGTGGGCAGGTAGCTGGGTGGGATTGGTGGCCTGGGATACACAGGAGGTCAGACGAGATGATCTGCTGGTGTCTTCGGGCCTTAAACTCTATGGCAACATGGACATATGACAGCGCATGGCAGGCAGGACAAACTTCCCATCCCCGTCTCCTCACCCATGTGCCTCGACACGCAGCTGGAGAGCCCACGGGTAAGGGAAGGAGTTCACTTTCCGTGGCCCATTCAATCCTTGTGCCACCAAACTCTGCCAGCTGCAATGCGGGCTCGCAACACCCCGGAGATCCACTGGGTTTCCTAGTCACGCTCCTGACTGCCCTCTGCGGAGCTGGGGCTGGGAAGGGGTCTGCCAGGCCACTACAGACCTTGCCTTCCTCTGCCCAGCACAACTGGCTCTGTTCTGCTGCCGTTAGCCTCTTCAGAACATCAGAACGGCCACACTGGGTCAGCCCAAAGGTCCATCTAGCCCAGTGTCCTGTCTGACGACAGTGGCCAAAGTCCGGTGCCCCAGACGGAATGAACAGAACAGGGAATCATCAGTGATCCATCCCCTGTCCCCCATTCCCAGCTCCTGGCAAACAGAGGCTAGGGACACCATCCCTGCCCATCCTACCTAATCGCCATTGATGGCCTGTACTTTGGCTGAAGGATTGAGCCCATTTTATTAGACTATGAATGAGGGCCACGGCGCTAACAAGCCCCAACGTCTGCAATTACCTGGGACTCCTGCATGGCTGGCGAGATCTGCTAGGCACTCAGATCCCGCCTTCAGCACGAAGTATTTTAAAGTAGCCTATTCCCACAGCCTGCCTGCATTTCACATATCAGCTACCCACCTGAAAACTGTCTCTCTCATGCCTCACTCAACCGCCTTCTCCTGGAACAATGAGCCGGAGGTGGCAAGCTTTACCCACCCCATAATCAGCGCTGCGGCAAGCTGCATTACACTCCCAGAATCGTGACTGCTGACTTCTCCCCTCCGTGGGCTGCACTTCCCAATGCACCCCGGGAACAACTTGCTCCCCGGTTTCCCATTGGCTGGCTTTTTTAAAACGAGGGCTTCTGGTGACTGGGGAGGAAAATAGCGGGGAAGAGGAGGTAGGAGGGGGAAATAATCAAAGAGCTTTTTGTCAAAGGCAAAGGGACGTGAGCTGAAGTGTCAGCTTCTACCCAAGCTGGTAAATGCCAGGCCCATCCCTATTCTTGCCTGGTCTTGTCAGCACTACCAAGCTCTGCAAACACAGAGTTAACATTCATTACTTGCTAAGCGCCGATGTGCTCAGCACTGCACGAGATACCAATAAAGACAAGCCCTGCCCTAGTTCTGACACCATGGACTCCAAGAGGCCCCTCAGGGAAGTGTTCTTCTCCTGAAGTGATGGGAGCTACATAAATACACCGACAGATAGACAGAGCACATCCATGCTTTCTACCACTCCCATGTGATTGCCCTCCGCTTGGTTTTAATTCAGTATGATGGCGATGCATGAGAGATCAAATTCTCCGCTGGACTTCGCTTCGCTGACGTCAATGGGTCGGATGCACGAGCTTAAAGTTAAGTGCTTTGCTGAACTGGGATCCCCCTCCTCTACCACAAATGCTGCTGTGCAAAGTTTCTGTGTGGCAAACTCGCTTGGAGATTAGCTGGGGAAAAAAGAAGCGTTATTTAAAATTCTCCACACTGGGCAGCATTGGCAGGTCAATCTTTCTGGTGCAGCTGACTTGTCAAGTTCAAATTTCCTAAGAGGGGGGAGCAGCACTGGGAATTGGGCATTGGACCCCCACCACCATGGGCCTCTCTCCACTCTCGGTGCCCCAAATTGTCTATGGCAGGGAATAGGAGGCCTAGATTAGAATCTTCACTCATGTTCAAGGTGCGGTTATTTTAAAAACCTATGGAAGTTCTCAGACAAAAAACTTTGTTAACCTCAAATTCTAGATGTCAAGTGACATTAAAAATACAAGCCACGAATGTTATCATTAAGGATGCCTAAATATTAAAATAATAGAATCATTGAAGATTAGAGTTGGAAGAGACTGCAGAAGGTCATCTAGTCCAACCCCCTGCTCAAAGCAGGACCAACCCCAACTAAATCATCCCAGCCAGGGCTTTGTCAAGCCGGGACTTAAAAACCTCTAAGGTGGAATCTCCTTCCACCTCCCTAGGTAAAATGTGGGGAGATTATTCGTTAAAGTCACTCAGAAAAGATCCCGGTCCCTTAAAGTTCATACATTCCCTT